ACCCCATACTCCCGGAGAAACCCCCACAAGGCCCACTCGGGACACGGTCAAACGCCTTCTCCAAGTCGACAAAACACATGTAGTTGGGCGAACTCCCATGCACCCTCCAAGACCCTGCTGAGGGTGTAGAGCTGGTCGAGTGTTCCATGCCAGGACGAAAACTGCACTGCTCTTCCTGAATCCGAGGTTCGACTATCCGACGGACCCTCCTCTCCAGGACCCCTGAATAGACCTTACCAGGGAGGCTTAAGAGTGTGACCCCCCCTGTAATTGGAGCACACCCTCCGGTCCCCCTTTTTAAATAGGAGGACCACCACCCCAGTCTGGCAATCCAGGGGGACTGCCCCCGATGTCCATGCGACATTGCAGAGTCGCGTAAGCCAACACAACCCTACAACATCCAGAGCCTTGAGGAACTCTGGGTGGATCTCATCCACCCCCGGGGCCCTGCCACCGAGGAGCTTTTTGACCACCTCAGCGATCTCGTCCCCAGAGATTGGAGAGCCCAACCCAAAGTCCCCAGGCTCAGCTTCCTCAACAGAAGGCATGTTGGTGGGATTGAGGAGGTCTTCGAAGTATTCCGCCCACCGGCACACAACGTCACGAGTTGAGGTCAGCAGTACACCATCCCCACTATAAACAGTGTTGGTGCTGCACTGCTTCCCCMTCCTGAGACGCCGGATGGTGGACCAGAATCGCCTCGAAGCCGTATGGAAGTCTTTCTCCATGGCCTCTCCAAACTCCTCCCACGCCCGGGCTTTTGCCTCAGCAACCACCTGAGCCGCATGCCGCTTCGCCCACCGGTACCCATCAGCTGCTTCTGGAGTCCCGTAGGCCAAAATGGCCCGATAGGACTCCTTCTTCAGCTTGACAGCATCCCTCACCGAAGGTGTCCACCAACGGGTTCGAGGGTTGCCGCCGCGACAGGCACCAACAACCTTGCAACAATGCAGATTATTGTACAATTTAATGGTTCAAGACACTTTACACTTTTCTACTTGTAAAGTGGCTTTAAACGTTAATTTGTACAATAATATGCACTGTTCTAGTTTTTCCCTTTGAAATTTAAACCAATGCTAACATTTAGCCATTAGCATGTTAGCTAGGACCTATTAGTTGTAATGCAATATTTCAGTCAAAATTAAAATACATATAAAAGTTTTACAAATATGACTAAATTAATATGACTTAATTAATTTAGTGAGGTTTTTTTTGAGTATATAAATCATGGTAATGCAGTTGTATTTTACCAATATCCCAAAAAATAAGACCCTTTGGATGGAGTTGATGTAAATAGAAATTGCAAATTAAATGAAAGGCTTTTATTGAACTACTGTATTTTGGCATTACTGATGACATTAAAGTAAAAGCTAGTTAAATTATTAAAAACATAAAGAATAATAACTGTAAAACCTGCAGTTTCAGCACTTTTAAAATAAATGTACCAATCAAAAAAAACCTCAAAGATTCAGCAATCCATTGAAGCGTTATCACTTCAGTAATGTAACCACTGATCCCAAAGCAGACATTTTATGATTAAAATACAGCAATTAACTGCTGATTGGGACACTTTCCTCAGAACAGCCCGTTTTAAGAGCCACTCAGAGACTTGGTGAAACCTGGAGGGATTGAACCGGACGCTGCAAATCATTTTAACCGTGATGTAATTTATACTCTGGAGCCAAAGCCAGGCTGTGTTCGTTAGTGAGAACAAGTCATTTAGAGAAAAGATTCTTATTTCTGATCAGTGAAATGGTCGTTTTTATGTGAAAAGAATCAAACTAAAAACATTTAAATGCTGTCATCTTTTTGAATAACACACATTTCACTGATCACCGGGGACTTATGTAATCAAAAAAAATGTTTATTTGGCTTTTCCTTCAAAAGAAAACAGATCCAACAGCAGCTAAGTGAAGTTTTTTAACCACTTCACTTGTTGAGATTATAAATTCCCAGAGCAGCTTTTCTGTAAACATTAATTTAATAAGTTTTTCCCTCTGGGCGTGTTACAAACAGTTTAATTACTTGGTAAACATCTGAGGGGTCCGGCCTCTGATGGACCCTCTCGATCTTTCAGGACCGTTCTGAAAACCCAGAGGAAGATGTTGGAGGTGGCAGGGGGCCGGGTGTTCGGGGTTCCTCTACTCGTCAGCGTTCAGCAGACTGGAGAAGCTCTTCCTCCCTGCATCCTCAGAGCCCTGGTTTACCTGAAGACCCAGTGTCTGGACCAGGTGACCCAGCTGTGTCTAATGGGACACAACCAGATCTTAAACCAACAAATAATTAAATAAAAAACTAAATCTTTGTGGTTTTTTTTGCTGTCAGGTGGGTCTTTTCAGGAAGTCAGGTGTGAAGTCTCGGATCCAGTCCCTCCGTGAGGCGGTGGAGTCCGACCCAGACCAGGTGTCGTTCCAGGGTCAGTCGGCTTTCGACGTGGCCGACCTGGTGAAGCAGTTCTTCAGAGACCTGCCTGAACCGGTCTTCAGCACCAGACTCTGCAGGACCTTCCTGCAGATCTACCAACGTGAGCCGAACCTCAGAGAGACCAGTTCTGTGCAGAGTTTAGGATTGTTTTAACCACTGTGTACAAGTACACAGGTATAAACAGACAGTGTGTAAAAATACACAGGTGTGAACCAACAGTACGTACAAATACACAGGTACGAATAAACGGTGTACAAATGCACAGGTATGAACAGACAGTGTGTACAAATACACAGGTCTGAAGTTTTGTATGAACACAAACATGACGAAATGAGAAACTTACTGTGAGGTATTTATTTATCTACAGTATGTTTATTAATTAACTAATTTATTTATTTTTTTGTATTAATTTATTCATTTTTTTATTTATTAGTTGGTGTATTTATTTATTCATTCGTTTATTTATTTATCTACCTACCCACCCAGATGAGAGACGAGGGTTGTTTAGTCAGATGTTTGTGTATTTGAAGAGGTGACATCATCTCATCCTCTCAGGTGTCCCACAGGACCAACAGCTGGTCGCGGCTCAGGCGGCCATCTTGCTCCTGCCGGAGGAGAACAGGGCGGCTCTGAGGACGCTGCTCCTCTTCCTGCAGGACGTGACCCGTGTCCCCGAGAACCAGATGACCCCGACCAACATCGCTGTGTGCCTGGCACCGTCCCTGTTCCACCTGAACGCAGCGAAGAGGGACACCAAGTCAGCCAGGTGGGTCTGGACCCCGGGTCCAGTTTAAACCCTGTTAGATCTCAACTGGTTCTGGTCCATCAGCAGGTCCAGATCAGTAACATCTGTTGTTCTGCAGGTCGGGTCACAGGAAGTCCAGTCTGGGACATCCGGACCAGCGGGACCTGAGTGAGACCCTCGCTGCCACCCAGGGTCTGTCGAACATGATCGCCGAGGCKTCCAGACTTTTCCAGGTAACCTTTGACCTCTGGACCAGAAACCAGACCAGGTCTTACAGGACCCAGTTCAGGAACAGAACCTTCTCTGTAGCTTCCAGAGTTCTGGCCCAGACAGAGTCTCAACACTCCCGGACCCACAGAGGAGGTCCAGTCCGGTCTGGATGGACGTCACCGGCTGCAGCTGAGCACCCAGCAGCTCCTGAAGGAGGCCCGGGAGGAGGGTCTGGACTGGGAGAACCAGCCGGGTCTAGAGCAGGTGGATCTTGCCTTAAAGAAGGTGAACCAGGTCGTTTGTGGACAGCAGAACACTGAGGAGAGGAGAGTTTAATTCTGGTCTGGTCCTCAGGCGGAGGACGGGTGTCCTCTGGGGACGTGGCGCGGCTCGGTGGAGGTGGACGCTCCTCAACAGGACCTGCTGCACCGGCTGCTGAGGGAGCAGAACCTGTGGGAACAGAACCTGCGGCACGCTGCGGTGGTACAGACTCTGTCCGAGGACTCGGAGGTCTACCACTGCGTCCTCCAGGGTCCGGGCCACGAGCTGGGCTCGCAGCCTCCGCAGGACCACCTGCTGCTCAGGTAAGACCACCCAGAACCTGAAACTTWTAAAAAGTTCTGAAGTCTCACCATCATCAATCCTCTCAGAACCTGGCATGGGGACCCGTCCTCTGGACCACTGTACCTGTCCTCGGTGTCCACGGACCACCCGGGGGTTCAGTCGAAGGGGGTCCGGGTTCAGGTCCACGCTTGCCTCTACCTACTGGAGCCCACAGGGACCATGAAGACCCGACTGACACACCTCTGCAGGACCGACACCAGGTCAGAACCAGAACAGTCACGGTTCAGTAATAACTAGTTTATTACCATGAAGTCCTCGTGTTGACTGCTTATTACTAGTTTATAACACATCAACTGCTTATTACTAGTTTATAACACATCAACTGCTTATTACTAGTTTATAACACATCAAATGTTGACTGTTTATTATTAGTTTATAACACATCAGATGTTGACTGCTTATTACTAGTTTCTAACACATCAAATGTTGACTGCTTATTACTAGTTTCTAACACATCAGATGTTGACTGCTTATTACTAGTTTCTAACACATCAGATGTTGACTGCTTATTACTACATTTAAGGAGGACACAAAGACAGAATTCAGGAATAAAACTTTTTATTAATTATTCTGCCTGGTCTTCCAAAAAACCTTAGCTGAGGAGACCACAGCTGGTTTTGGACGAGTCGTTCATTTTAGCCTCAGACCTGGAGTCGGTTAGTTTTTAAAATCAGTCATTTTCAGCAGATCGATGAGCTAAAGGCTAGTCTAAGCAATAAATTTCTTTTTAATACTTTATATTAAAACAGGAAACAGGTTTGTGAACTTTTTTCATGAAACTGCAGCTGTGCTCGGCTCAAACAGCCACCTGCAGCAGGTAAGATGTTGACTCATCAACATATTAAAAACCTTCGCTCATTTGGTCTCATTTCCTGGACCTCAGTTCTGCTCCGACCCGAAACAACATCTCAGAGCTTCAGACAGAAATTAAACGAGTTCAAGCAGAACATAAAGTCCTGCAAGGTTCTGAAGTGGTTCTGATTAATTCTTCAGGACCTGCAGACCCACTGATCTGAACCACTTCAGATCTTTACAGAAAGTCCGGCTGCTTGTGTAAAAACAACCCGGATCAATGAAGACTGTAGAACCCGTACAGTTTCTGAGCTCTTTAACCCTGTTCTGGTCCATATTTCAGGGGTCGGTCCCTGGACTGGTACAGCAGAGTGAGCGGACACCTTCTGGCCTCGGGTCTGTTGGCCATCAGAGATTCCTTCAGACCCGGACTCAAAGAAACAAAAATATGAGTCGAACTAGGACCAGGAGGACTGGATGGACCTGAAGGACTGCAGGTAAACACTCCTGGTTCTGGGCAACTGTAGTCTGGACCAGGTCGTATCTGTTAAAGAGCAGCAGCTTCATCAATGAGATGAGAACTCGTGACGCCATCTTGGAAGGTGCTACATGAGGTCAAAGATCACCAACCTGATACGACTGACTACGTGCTTCAGATTATATCATTTTCACATGAAAGAGGTTTATTTTAAGTTATTACTTTAAATAAATGACGAAGTGGGCGGAGCCATCTGATGGTAGGCTGTTTCTGTATCATCTTCCTCTCTGCTGGTTTCATTGTTTAATTTAAGATGTTTCTAAGAATAAATGTAAATCCAGAGATTTTTAATCTTTCTGAAAACGTTTAGTCTAATTTTTGGTGCCAAATGTTGAATTAAAACAAATTTCTCTGAACCTGTGTTGTATTTTTGTTTTACTGATGAACAAATAAACAGGAAGTGAGTCTGATTTAATCAGTAAAGTCCTGCAGATCGACCCGGGTCGAACAGGTCCAGTTCTCTTAAGGTCCTCTTATGAAAAGTTTGAAGATGGAATTAAAAAACATCAACTGGAACCACTTTCTACATGCACAAACTGTAATGATCAAATATCTTTAAATAACTTATTAGTAGTGTGACAGGGCTGCAGAGGATTAAACTGAAACTCACAGAAAACCTCCTTCAACGGGTAGGTTCTGCAGCACCAAGTCCACCAGAACCAGAACCAGAACCAGGTCTGACAAGCTGCTGCCCCCTGGTGGAGAAAATTAAAATGAAACTTAAAAATCTGAACAAGAAAATTTCAAATAAAAGCTATTTTTGTGGCAAACTGGCTAAAAAATGTTTAATCACTAAATGTGATTTTATTTAAATTTTATAAATCTGAATGTTTATTTAAAAGTTGAATTTAAAATAAGGACATTTTCAACATATTTGTGTCGCTGAGCTGAACCAACAAAAAGAAAATGTTTTGAATTTAACAGGACATTTGTTATTTTCCACATAAAGAAACAGTTTTCAATACATGAACTATTTACATTTCTAGTAATTTATTTAATTTCCTCCTTTGTTGTGTATGAATGAATAATACAAAAATCGATATGACTAAATACWTTGGGTCAATTTTGACAACTAAACTGTATTTTTAAATAAGTAACGTATTAAACTGCATTAATTTAGATTAAAAAATAAAGACAAGCTCGCACTCAACACATTTTAGGATTTCTTGTAAATAAATTTTGTGTAAATTTGAATTTTACTGCAGAAATGATTTCACTCTAAAAAAAACTTTTCATTTCTGGTTGTTTTTTAAAACTGTTCGGTTTATTCTGTCAGAATCTAGATAATCTGCCTCTGTAAGAACAGATAATTCAGGGGAATAAAGATGGCCGCCTGTATTTACCTGCTGCACCTCCTCCCTTCATCTGGGTGGTCCCGCTCCACCGATGGTTCCGGGTCGGACCTTCGTGCTTCTCGGTGCCGTTGAGTTGACTGAATTTTTCATGAAGCTGCAGAGAAACCTGACGTCTGAGACGATCCAGAAAGTTCTGGTGGATTCTGAAGAACTTTTTAACAGCGGCTGAGCTAACAAGACCGGACTCAGAGTGGTTCTGTTCATGTTTGATTTAAATCAAAGATGTTTGTCTTTAAAGTAAACAGAACTTCTTCTGAGTTCAGACGCCATTAAAGCAGCTGAAAAATAAATAAACTAAAACCGAACCAACGACAGCACATCAGTTTAATCTAAAATATCACAGATGCTAAAAAGTTAGCTTCAGCTAACCTGCTGACTAAAATCTTAAACGGTTAAAACAATAAGTAAAAGGTTAGAATTACATCTAACGTTTAAAAAACAAATCAGAAAATCCATCTTACCTCTGAATCATTAATCCACCAGGATAAAACCGTATAAACTGAGGAATTACATCTCCCAGAGTGCTTCAGGACATTTTCCCGCCAAAATCACCCCTTCTGACCAGATTAGGATTTCAGTGKACGAACGATAAAGATGCTAACCTCACATGATGCAGGCGTGTAGCGCTGCGTGACAGCACAGTTGTTTTTGACTTTAGCTTAAGTTAATTGGTCCGCTAAAAGGTTTATTAACTTAATGTAAAAGCTAATGTSCTAAACGAAAAGTTAGCTTTGCTATTAGCAGTTAGCAAAACTGTGTCCTTGCTCTTCCTGTTTGTTTTGTTCAAAATTGCGTTTTAAAAAAAAAAGGTTCACGAGGCGAACAGCAGCATCGCGTCAAAGGCGACGTCAGAAGGTAAGCTAACGCTAGCTAAAGTTAGCTWGTTCACAGCTGATTATGAGCCACTTCCTGCTGTTTGCTGACGTCAAATCTTTGGCACAGGTGGAACCTGAACCGGGTCCAACCAGAAGACCTGGAGGTGGTGCTGGACCTCCCTGATCCAGCTGGATGAGGCACAGTTTTATCTCTCTGAAGGTTTTTATTAATGATTGACAGGTGGCTCTTTTTAATGGCTCCTTTATTTAAAAAAGATCCTTCATATAAATTGTATTTAATGAATCAAAATTAACATTTTTCCTCCTCCTAAGGGTTGTTTAATTGCTTTAACTGCTTCTCTGTTAAAGTTCGGTGAGTTTTAAGTGGACCAGGACCAGAACTGGGACCGGATCACATCCTCTGGACCGGGTTGATGCCCAGGATGTCGAAACATTTGGCCATGATGGTGGCCGTGGCTTCACACAGCAGCATCCTCCACATGTTGATCTTTATCACCTCACCTGGAAGCAAACAGACACAGGAAGACAAGTAAATACCAGCTTTCAAAATAAGACAATAAATAAATAAATATTTTTAAAATAAAACCTCCCACTGCAGAATATTTTTGATAAATAAAATCTAGAGAACGGCTTTAACGTATTTTTCTTTTTGGAAATTAAAAAGTTTTGTTCTTCAGCTGAGAGGAATCTAACTCAGCTGTAAAAAATAAATCATCAGATCAGAGAAGCAAACAGAACCATCAGGTCAGGTTTAATGAGGCCGACACACAGAGTCCATCACCTGGACGTCAGGTATCCACACCGAACGGGTCCATCGGGCCGACCCGGCTGACGGAGCAGAAACCAGAACAGGAAGTGGTAACGAGCAGCCGGGGGAAGAACGGGTCGTTAGACGGCCACGAGCCGATAATCACCGACGGGCAGAAGCATCAGCTTGTGATTTACACAAACGAGCCGAAGCGTTCAGGTTCACAGCCGAACTGTGCAGCTGCAGCTRAAGTTCAGCTCGTTAAGAACTTTGAAAGAAAACAGCTGCTTTCATCAGACGAAGAAAATGTCACAGGAACCCAAAGAACCAATCAGAACCACGAAGAAACTGAACCCAAGGATCTAACTGTAAAACCAGAARCAAAGTGTGCTTTTACTTTGAAAAACCAGCAAATATAAAAACTTTTTTAAAAGATGAACTGAGAAGACAACTTCCTCTGGACTGTCTCATAGATGGGACTACTTCCTGTGGACTGTCTTACGGACAGACAACATGAATAAACAAAAATCAAAACCGTTTTATAAATTTATCCCACACAGYGTTGTCTCATTGGTCGACATGAAGGGGGCGGGGTTTCAGGGTTGTTCTGGTCTCACCTGTCTGCCGGTCCTTCTCCACGCAGTAGCAGCTGTCGTAGAACTCRGTGAAGGTGGTGGCGAGCTCGTACAGGTAGTCGCACAGCGTGTGGAGCAGCAGGTCGTCCAGGATCTTCTGCAGGATCTCAGGGAACCGCAGGATGCACTTCCCCAGCTTCCACTCCTTCTCGTGGTCCAGAAGGATCTGGGTGGTCTCTGCCGCCCTCTTCAGCGTGGACTCGTCCAGGCTGGCCAGACGAGCGATGGACCTGATGRAGGTCAGAGTTCACGTTACAGAGGTCCACCTCACAGTGTTCACAGAAACACTGTGTTCTTTACCACAATAACAGCAAGGGGACTGTGTGTTAGCAAAATATCTCATGAACCACTGCACAGATCTCAACCTCAGCCTTTGGAGTCAACTCAATTCAAGATGGCAGCCACAGCCAATCAACCTTAGAGAACACAAAAACAATTACAATTCAGCTAAAATCCAGCTAAAATTCAGCGTGGTAGTAGCTGAGAGTAATTGTCAACGTGTGCTCTGAGAGTTTAACAACTTAACGCACCAACATAAACACAAAAAATAAAATCAAAACATTTGTTTTTCTGCTTTTATTCAGGTTGTATTTTTGGAACCAGAGTCTGAGCACTAAGAGACCTAAGCCCCGCCCCTGGACCCTCCCATCTCATCAACAAGCTGTCAATCAGTGTAACACGACACTTCTCTATATATAACTAGAGAAAGTGCATTTCCTGCGAACATGCTAGTACGAGTGCTTCTTGCTGGTATACCATTTCTAAGCTCAATATATTGAAAATTGGCACAAAATGTAGAAAAAAGAAAAAGAATAGCTGAAAGAAGAAATATAGCTGAAAAAGCAGAAAACAGCTACAATTAGCATAATATACGCTAAAGGTAGTAGACACCAGTTAAAATCAGCAACTAGATGATGAAAGTGGTGTCAAAACATCAAATTAGCAAAAAAAAACCTCATAAAAGTATAAAAAAGTGACAATTTGTTGTAAAATAACCAAAACAGCCAAAGTTTTCAGTAAAACAGCTAAAAAGCAGCTGGATTTTTTAGATTAACATAAAGGATCACAATGAGCATGAGTTTGTTGAATTTACCAGAAAAGGTTGCAATAGCTACAAAAATAATGTATTTAGCTTAAAAAAGCTAACTTTAGCTAATACCAGCTAAACATTAGCTAAAAATGCAGCAAATATTTGAATATAGCAGAAAGAATCTGTAAGAAGCATAAATAGCACAAAGTAGAAGAATTACAAAAATAATATATAAAAGAAAAGGCAGAAAGAAGCAGAATTTTAGTTAATATAGCTGCAAAAAGCTAAAATTAGCATTAAAAATAAGCTAAAGGTAGCAAACTCAAGTTGAAAGTAGCACCTAGATGGTGTAATGGTTGTAAAATATTCAAAATTAGCAGAAAAAAAATCATAAAACTATTAAATAGCAATCATTTGTAGTAAAAYGGCTATAACAGCCAAAGTTTTCAGTAAAACAGTTAAAAGATAGCTGGAAACATTTTAATTAGCATAAGGATGCATAAGGAGTGCATGTTTGCTGAATTAGCAGAATTTAGTTGTAATAGCTACAAAAATATATGTATTTAGCTTAAAAAGCTAACTTTAGCTAATAACAGCTAAAATTTAGCTAAATTTGTAGCAAATAGCTGAATATAGCAGAAGGCAACTGTTAGAAGCATACATAGTACAAATTAGCAGAAGAAAAGCAAAAAGAAGCAGAATTATAGCTGAAAACAGCTAAAGTTAGCAAAAAACAAGCTAAAATTAGCATAAGAAAATTAAAGGAAGCATAACAGAGAAGAAGGTGGGAAGAGCAGTGAAGATTTATAAACAATTTGAAGTGTTTTAAGGAAGTTAAACGTTGCTCCGTTCATTTTCAATGAAAAAACGTAAAAATAGCTGAAATACTTCGGCATAGATGAGCTGAAGGTTTAGATAAAGCTTCACTAAATAATAATAATTATTATTTTRAAAAAGCTCATGTGACCCCAGAATAAACCCTGAACCATGACTCTGAAGTCTGTTTTACTTTACTCTGACCTGAAAACGTCTCGTTCTTCACAGCGTGTGAAGCTCAGGTGGTAGTAGCTGAGAGTCATGAGGTCACCAGAAGAGGCTCTCAGATTAAAACGATGAGCAGCAGCAGGACGTGCTCAGATTATTAACAGATTATTAATCCCTGCAGCTCCTGGTTTTGCTTGATTAGTTTCTTGTTGTTTGGACTCCTGAGGAACCAGGAGCTCCATCGATCCACAAATCCTCTCAATCCACAGAACCAGAATCAATCTCTGCTGGGCTCAGCCATCCTGAGTCCGACTCCTCCAGGGAGGTCAGAGAGGATCGACCCGCTTCATACGGGAGGTCCGATCCGATCCGACTAATCCGCCGCCCAGAACCACCGCCGAGGCCCGGAAGTGATGACAGAACCCCGGAGGAGCTGAGAGGTAAAAGTTTTAACTTGAACTTTTCATGAGCAGGTGGAGGTGATTGGACCCGACGAGTCCTGCATGGAAACCAGAACCAGACTGGACCCGGCTCCAGGAGGGAACGCCAGCAGAGCTGCAGGGTCTGAGCCAATCAGGAGCCACTATGAGGCGAGCCAGAGGCTGATGGGTGGACACAGCCAAGATAAACCAGATCCTGGTCCAGGACCAGAGTCCAGTCTGGTTCTGATCCAAACGCTGTCATTCTTTTTCATCAGTTTCTACAAGAAAAACCCAGAACAGGTTTTCTCTCCTGCATAGAAACTAAAAAA